GATTAACAATTAAATCATGAGTCACAGTTAAAAAGGTTAAAATTGAATTGAATTCTCACATGCAACTTCTAATTATCGTCAAATAACATAAGCAGCCAGCAGAGTTCACAAATGATCTTTCCACACACATGGAAATGTTTTAAAAATTCCAAGCAAGTTGTGATAGTGCTTGACTAACCAATCATCTCAAATTTCACCAGCAGGGTATCATTCTTGGTGTACTGTGGCTGAAGAATCTGCTCAAGAGGAGCAAATTCTTTGTAACCAAACCCACGAAAGTAGTTTTCTGGAGGTCTTTGACATGCTCGCCAATGAGGTTTAGGCACCAGGGCTTTGCTGATATCATGATGCATCTCTTTATCTTCTGATTGATCCAAGATGGACAATCTGAACTCTCTCTTTAATGGCCAATCCAAGATTGCATCATAATCACCTTCCCTCAAATGAAGGAACAATGCCATGTGTTTGCTAACACCATCATCCACTCCATTCAAGTTGATTCGCATGCGCAACTTGTATCCACCATACTTACTAGTGTAAAAGGGAGGGCTATACTTTGCTGTGCTTGTTCCACTGATGGCATCTTGGAAACAATCTCTGAAGTTTTCTATCTTCCAGGTATACATCCCATCTACTTGCCTTCCAAATCTGTCACTTTAATTGGAATTATTTATAATGAATGTTATTGTTTTTTATTAGGAAAACCGACATCAAAGTAAAGGTCACAATGAATTTAAAATGGCCAAATGGATAACAAAATTAGGCTAAGATTGTTCCTGTCTCATAAATGTTAGATTTACTCCAGATCATATTTACTTGTACCAAAAGTGAAATGAGATTTATTACCATTGGTAAAGGGCAATCTTAGCCGATTCAGGGACTAACTATTGGAGACAACATGCATTAGTTTGAAAATTTCAACTTGCAAAGAGTAATCATCGTTACTAAATCCAGCTTTTTGCAAACTTACTCAATTTCTAGCCCACACAGTGGTGTCTCATGTCTCATTTGTGCTTCGTTTGTCTCCTGTCGCTGTTTCAGATGATCTCCCTCGTTACTCAGCAAAGTGATAAGATTGTCCAGTTCCTCTATTTTACTTTGCAGCTCTTTTACATTTTTAACCACTTCAGATTGAAGACCCTGGAAAGCAAAAGAGTCTGTGAAACATTCATTGACAAATATGTAGATGAGGTCATTGCATCAGAAGTAGACTCACAATGATATAAAAAGCTTATTGGCCAAGCTCAGAATCACTGCTGCGAGTTCTGTCCCAAAGTCTAAAAACTGTTTTGCCCAACACAGTCACTTTAATAGACAACTGTATAAACTAACCATGGTGGGAACTCTGCTATTTTTCAGATTCATTTAAAAACAGAAAGACTTATCATACTAAATCAAAGAGTTTGTGCCATACCTCAATGATTAAACATTCAAGTATAAAAGTCACCGTCCATGAAGACAGTCACGTGTACACAACTATAATGAATTACTTTAGCCAAGCCTAAAAGCAGGTCACAAATCAAATTTCTCCTCTTCCC